GGGGAACTCTGCAAAAAACGCATCTTCGCACGGGCAGCCCGTGCGTTGGCCAATTTTTTACTTATACTATCAATTTCACCTCTACTTTCACTTTCCTCCTCAGATGCGGATTTTCAACCTCATCTCTACAATTAATATAACTTAATACAAAAACAAACCATCAATGGCATTTCCTCCTGAAATCTCTTTTGTTGTTCCTGTTGAGACATTGAACAGCGTCATCCAGTCCAATTCATCCTAAATTCACGCCTCATTATTCAAAAACAAAGAAAAACCTCTAAGTGAAACATGGTGTTCGTTGAGTAAACAGTAACAAAACTGCTGTAACTACAACTGAAGTTAAGAGACAATGTGCGAATACCCTAACCATATATAAATGAAAGTAAAAACGTTCTACCTCCTTCAACGCTTAAAAATGACAAAATGTTTCGTTTAAAATAGAAATACGGAACAAAAGCTGAGCCTAAAGGTGCAAAACTGAATCCAAATAGACACAAAATTTAGATTTCATGTGCAAAATTTAAAAAAGTAATAGAACCCGTCATTATTCACTGATATATTAACGAAGAAAAGGCACTGCGACATCAGTCCCTGGTACTAGTAGCGACTGCGAAGTCCAGTACAAACCAAGGAACTTCCAGCACCGCACGGCCTTCCCAAATGCTTTTTTAGGAAAAAACGCCGAACCGGTCAACCCCTAGGGGAGATGAAACGAACGTCAGGATCGCCAGTAAGCTGATTTCCGGCCAGCGAAACTTGAAAAACTGCTAGTTGCACAGCTGAAGAATCAAGTCGTGAAAAAATGCCAACCCAACTATTCCATTTAAGTGCTCCACATAAAAACCGAACTACAACGTGAAGTGAATATAAATACGGCCATGTCCCCTTCGCAATGCATTTTTTTGCGAGGAAGAGGCCAAAGGCCAAAACACATCAAAATCTGGATTAGAAATCAGTTGGATAACAGAAAATTCCAAGCAAAATCGACAAACCTCAGCCAATAATCCACCGATATAAGTGCTTGCATCAACGTCTTCTCGAGTGAAAACTCCAGGTGGGAGATTACCGCCCCATACTCTCTCATGACGGTTACTCATTTTCGCATTTGACGAAGCCTTCGAATCGGGAAATGCTTTGTTGAAAGCCGAAGAAAGCGTCGAAGACCAGCTGTACGGCGGTGGTGGACTAGAAGTACTCGGTGGTGTTGTGTATTGTTGCTGCTGTTGTTGCTGTTGCTGCTGCTGCGCGGATTCACCTGCTGAAATTTTTAAGAGTAATTGCGCATTGTCAAAAAAAAACAAATTTCTCGAAAAAACAGAGCAAGCTCGAAATGTTACTACGATACCAAAAAGACCAAGATCGCCCGGTCTGTGTGTGTGTGTGTGTGTGTGTGTGTGTGTGCAAGTGAGTGTGTTTGTGCGTGTCTGTGTGTGTGTGCGTGTGTGCAAGTGCGTATGTGTGTGTGTGTGTGTATGTGTATGTATATCTCACCTAACTGATGTTACTTGGAATGCTCCCACACGCCGAGCGCCACTATGCCAAACTTCTCGACTCTCATCTAATTTTTCTCAATTAACACTTACTACCTATTCGATTATATGCACCATTTTTTTCATTATTCCATTTAGTGAGAGTCATAATTGACGATTAAATCTTCATTATTTCTAGAGAATCATGACTAATGTCATGATTCGTCTCAATTTTTTTTTGTCTACTACTTTAAACATATTTTTATTATGCGATAAGTTATTACTGCATCATACTGAAAACATTAGAATTTGTTTTTTTTTTTTTTTTCCAACTATTCCATTTCGTGGATTCAAGTACCAGGAGCAATATTTGCAAAAAATCATGATTAATAATTATGATTAATATCCTGCAATAGTGACAATATATAGCATTAGCAGGAGTTAATCATGATTAGCTTCTGCTTCTGCTATATATTATCACTATTATATTTGATAATCTGATCTTTACTGTTGCTTTTCGATTATCGCTGTTGTTTGTTAGCATAGCTGTTACTCCCTAATTTTAATTTTTGTCATTATGTGATGATTTTTAATAATCAGAAAATCATAATTAATACCATGATTCATCGCAATTTGTTTTTGCCTACTATTTTAATCATGACATTATATTATGCTATAAATTATTACAACTATACCGAAAATATTTGAGTTATGTTTTTTCGAATAACATCCCTTATTACTGTTTCTGGCTGTAGATCCCTTTGTTGCTAATATTAAGAGACGATTTTACACCAACTGTTGCCGCTTGAAAATTATACAAAAATTATACAAAATTCATGTAATATCAATCATTTTTTATGATGACTCTATTTCCATTCCTGATCGGTGCTTATTAATTGGGCCCTTATTTGTACTATCAGTGTTCAAAAGTACCACTGCATTGATTACAACATCATTTACTCTTTTGAGAAAAATGGATTAAAATATCATGAATTAAAATATTTAGTTAAAATGGATCAAAATATTGACTACTTAGTGAACTGAATAATTCATATTTTAGTGGATTTATTAAATGAATTAAAAAATTTAGTCAAAAATCATACAATCGCTTGATTTTGAAGGTGCGCGTGGCCAGAGCGACAGTACAGTTGAGGACCAGTCGTACATTACCTGAAAAATAATTTACTGCCAATAAAAAGTCTAATTTTATAAAAAATTTACACATTGTGAATAATTCTGGACAAAGTGATGATGCTCAACATATACCAAGAGTCACAAAAAAAATGGCTAGGGGCTTGTTGAATGGTAGTCGGGTCCAAGAGGGGACGA